TTTTTTTTTTTTTTTTGGAAAATGACACTGTATAGCCGCTCTCAAAATAATAGCCGAAAATATATATATATTTTTTGTATATATATACATTATGCATGTTATATACAAAATTTATACACTTTTTCGACTAACAAATGTAAATAGTTTCTATCACGGGCTAAAAGTGATAATACGGGCGAAGTCGAATAGCCACTTTTAAGCCCGCTATTTAAAATATATCCATAGTTGACATTGTATTTAAAGATTAGCCAATTCATCCAAATTTCAAGACTAAATATTTTTGAGCTGCTAATTTGAAATTCACGACTAAGTGTCCTGAATTTCTGAACCACTAATTTAAAATTCAGGACATAAGATTCAAACTTCAGGACACAATTTTACTGTAGGACATGATATCCTGAATTTCTGAACTACTAATTTGAAATTCTGGACATAAGATTCGAACTTCAGGGCACAAGTTTCTAACTTTAGGACACGATGTCCTGAAGTTTGAATTTTGAGATTTAAACTCTAGGACGTCATGTCCTGAAATTTAAGCGAAATTGGCTAATCTTTAAATACATTGTAAACTATAAATATACTTAAACAACATGCTTAAAAATTACCCCCCTCTCCTTTCTTCTACTATGGACTGTATTCTTTTAATAAGTTATATATATTGCCACGGTAATAAGTTACTCGTAATTGTTTTTCTAAGTAATTTGATCGTGTAAATATTATTATACCATAAATGCATATAAACTCATGCTAGCATGCCAATTGAATTTATTAAATAGAATTTGTTGTTGTTACACTTTAAAGTGATCTAATTGTGTACAAATTTGTTTATTCAAGGAAGTAAAATTTTACAAGATTGATAAATACTCTTTTCGTTTCAAATTAAATGACATATTTTACTTATCGAGAGTCAAACTATATAAAGTTTGACCAACATTTTAAAATAATTTTTTTATCATATTAACATAAAAAAAAATTACAACATATATTATTTCTCGTATAATTTTTTAATATCCAAAATTTTAATTTTAAAATATTGAGTTAAACTAATCCAATATAGTTTCGAAGTTTAGTCAAATTAATTCTCGGTAGACAAAATGTATAGTAAATTGAAACAGAGGGAATAGTTAACAATAAAGTCGATAAGTTCATAATTACCAACTTCCTTCTTAGATAACATGTGAATAATTGGATAGTAAATTACATATCACCAAAGAATGTGATGAAATGATAAAATTATTTTATCTTTAATTAGAAGTTTTATGGTGGATCATGGAAAATAAAGTCCTTAGTAAATGATAAATAATGCTAAATGTCTACATAATGAATTTTATACGATGTGAATTTAAATTAGTCGTATTAATAATCATGACACTGAATACTTGAAGAAAAGAAAAGAAAATTCTTATATGAGTTTGCAACAATATTAGACTTGATTGAGTTTACAAAATAATAATAAAAACCTGCAAAAGAAAAGAGATAATTCAAAAAATAAAACTCTTTTCTGTGCACAATCTAGAATCTTATATAGCTTCTTGGGGTTGGGACTTGGGCGCAACTCTGATATTGACAGATGATGGCTATATATATATGATTGGGTGATTGAGGCTTTGGGGATAAGACCAATGAATACAAATTTCAAAAATGCTACCTGATATCGTCAACAGATGATGGATATATATGGTTTTTATAAGATATCATGAAATACTTGTTGGGATTGAAATAATAAGACGTAACGTGAAAGCTAACAAAGCAAATCTTAATGAAGATAAATTAGACGACAAAAAAACTAGCACACAAAAAATTATAATTTGTCCTGAATTCCTGTTTCATGATCCTAAAACGATAAAAAACGAGTAACAGTCGTAGAGAAGCAACGACCATTGTTCATTAGTCGTTTCTGATTGGTGCACAAACTTTTAGGCGATTCTGATTGGCTCACAAACTTTTAGGCGATTCTGATTGGCTCACAAACTTTTAGGCGATTCTGATTGGCCCACAAACTTTTTCAAATCACCTAAAATTTTATAGGCCCATCAGAAACGGCATAATGAACTATAATCATTGTCTCGCCATACCATTCCTTGTTTTTTGGTGCTTTAGGGCCATAAAACAGGAATTCAATATGATTTTACATTTTTCGTGTGTCACTGTCCACGCTATTTTCATGAATTCGGGTCACCAATCCCGAATCGCCTAAAATTTTATGGGCCAATCAGAAACGATTTATTGTACTATAGTCATTGCCTATTCATAGTCATTCCTCATTTTTTGGCATTTTAGGGCCATAAAATAGGAATTCAGCATCCAATTTTTTGAATGCTAATGTCCACGCCATCTTCACGGATTCAGGCAGGTGGCTCCGAATCACCTAAAATTTTGTGGGCCCATTTAGGGCCATAAAACATGAATTCAGTACGATTTTTGATTTTTCGTGTGCTAATGTCCACGCCATCTTCATAAATTCGGGCAACAGGCCTCGAATCGCCTAAAATTTTGTGGGCCCATCAGAAACGACCTAATGAACCTTAGTCATCGCTTTGCCATGACGGTTCCTCGTTTTCTGATGTTTTAGGACCATAAAATAGGAATTCAACACGATTTTTTATTTTTCGTGTACTAATGTCCACGCCATTTTCATGAATTCGAGCGACCGGTCTCGAATGACCTAAAATTTTGTGGGCCCATAAGAAACGACCTAATAAACCGTAGTTATTACTTCGCCATGATTATTCCTCCTTTTTGATGTTTTAAGGTCATAAAATAGGAATTCTGCACAGTTGGCGATTTTTGTGTACTAATGTCCACGCCATCTTCATGAATTCGGGCGGTCGGCCCCGAATCGCCTAAAATTTTGTGAGCTCATTAAAAACGACCTAATGAACAATAATCGTCATTGCCTCACCATGACCATTCATCGTTTTTGGCATTTTAGGTCCATAAATTAGAACTCAATACGATTTTCTTTTTTTCGTATCTATGCCATTTACATGAATTTAGGCGACCGACCTTAAATTGTCTAAACTTTTGTGTTTCCATCAGAAATGATCTAATAAACCATAGTCATTGTCTTTCCATGGCCATTCCTTATTTTTTGGCGTTTTAGGTCCATAAACAGGAATTTAGTACGACTTTCAATTTTTCGTGTGCCTTAGTCCACACCATCTTCATGAATTTGGGCAACCGGCTCCGAATCGCCTAAAATTTTATGGGCCCATTAGAAATGACCTAATGATCTATAGTCTTTGCCTCGCCACGATCGCTCCTGGTTTTTTGACGTTTAGGGCCATAAAATAAAAATTTAGCACGCTATCTTCATGAATTCAAGCGATCGGTTCCAAACCTAAAATTTTGTGGCCCCATCAGAAATGACCTGACAAACTATAGTCATTGTCTTTCCATGACCATTCCTCGTTTTTTGGCTCTTTAGGTCCATAAAACAGGAATTCAGTACGACTTTCAATTTTTCGTGTGCATTAGTCATTTAGTCCACGCCATCTTCTTGAATTTGGGCAACTGGCTCCGAATCGCTTAAAATTTTATGGGCCCATCAAAAATGACCTAATGATCTATAGTCATTTCCTCGCCACGACCGCTCATCTTTTTTGGCTTTTAGGGTCATAAAACAAGAATTTAGCATGATTTGCAATTTTTTGTGTGCTAATGTCCACGTTATCTTCATAAATTCAAGTGATCGGTTCCGAATCGCCTAAATTTTTGTGGCCCCATCAGAAATGACCTAATGAATAATAGTCATTGCTTTCCATTTTTGTTACTCGATTTTTGGCGTTTTAGGGCAATAAATAGGAATTCAACATGATTGTCGATTTTTCGTATGCTAATGTCCCTGCTATCTTCATGAATTCGGACGACTGCCCTGAATCGACTAAAATTTTGTGAACCCATCAGAAACTTACCTAACGAACCATAGTCATTACCTCGCCATGATCGGTCTTTGTTTTTGACATTTTAGGGCTATAAAATAGAAATTTAACACGATTTTCGATTTTTGGTCCACGCGGTCTTCATGAATTCGGGCAACCGACCTAGATCGCCTAAAATTGTTTGGGCCCATCAGAAATGATCTAATGAACTATAATTATTGCTTTGGCACGATTGTTCCTCGTTTTTTGATATTTTAGGGCCATAAAACGAGAATTTAGCATGATTTCTATTTTTTTGTGCTAATGTCCACGCCATCTTCATGAATTCGGGCGATCGACCCTGAATCGCCGAAAATTTATTGGGCCCATCACAAATGACCTAATGAACCATGATCATTGTTTCGCCATGATTGTTGCTCATTTTTGGTGTTTTAGGGCCATAAAACATGAATTCAACCCGATTTCTAATTCTTTACGTTTTAGGACTATAAATTTTTGAATAAATGAAGTTCACTCAATAGTAAAATTGTCCTATTTCAAGTAATCCCACATAATGGGGTCTGGGGACGGTAGTATGTACGCAGACCTTACCCCTACCTCGTGGAGATAGATAGACTATTTCCAATAGACCCTCGGCTCAGTAAATCATAAGCACAACAATAATGAAAAGAAAATCAGTCAAAACAACAGTGAGAAGCCATGGAAAATAAGTATTAATAATATCAAGATAGTAAGATGACCGAAACAACATGCAATAATAGAAACCTAAGACTAAAAAATACGAAAGTACGTATTAATACTACTAATATGAACAAGGAAATCACTCGACTACCTAACATTTTACCCTAATCCTTGACTTCCAAACCTTCATATCAAGGGTTATGTCTTCGGTAAGTTAGAGATCTAATCACCTTACCACAATACTTCTTCGACTTGTCCCTA